GGAAAAAAAGAAAAGAAGAAAAAAGAGGAAAGAGAATCGAGAAAGGAAAAAGACCGCAGAAAAGAAAGAAAAAAGAAGAAAGTAAAGAAGAAAGAAGAAAGCCAAAAGACCAAGAAAGGAAAGAAAGAAAGAAAGAAAGAAAGAAAGGAAAGAGAAAGAAAGAAATGAAAGAAAAAGGCAGGAAGGAAGTGAGGAAGAGAGAGACAGAGAGGGAGGAGAGGAGGTTGAGGAAAAGAAGAAGGATGTTGAAAAGGGACCCCGGGGAGGGAGGAAGAAAGAGAGAAGAAAGAAAGAAGAAAGAAGAGGAGAGACAGAGAGAGAAAATAAAAGATAGAATGGAAGAAAGGAAGAAGGAAGGAAGAGCCACGGAGGAAAGGAAGAAGAAAAGAAGGAAGGAAGGAGGAGGAAGAAGGAAAGGCAAGAAGAGGGAGGAAGGAAGGAAGGAAAGAAGGAAGGAGAAAAGGAAGGGAAGGAAGGAAAGAAGGAAGGAAGGAAGGAGGAGGAAGGAAAGAAGGAAGGAAGGAAGGAAGGAAGGAAGAGAGGGAGGCAGTAAGAAAACCCCCTGAAAAAATAATGACCAGACTCATTAGAGATCTAAGACATGCAACCAAAATGCAGCTACAACAGCTCCTCCAGTCTGCAACCTCCTCCAGAGCGGTGTCCATGCTGGGTTGTCCTCGTGTCCTCTTACTGTTCCTGGTCTGGGTCTCGTACATCACAACCACTGAAGTAAACAAGTGTCAGATGAACAGCGTGTTCAAACATGTCTACTCAGCCCCCAGGAAAACAGCGGAGGAAAAAGAATCCTTTTAGAATTTTTCTCGACTTATTCAACACACAGGGTTCCACCATCCAAGAGGTGGCTGTGTGGGGGTGGCACCAGTGGCATGAAGCAGCCACTGGGCTGTTGAGGGTAGTCATGAGTGCCCAGGCTTTGGCTTTGGAGAGATTGTGGTTCAAGTCTCGATTCTGCTCATTTCTGGCTGCAGGATTTGGGCAAGTTTCTTAATCTTTTTAAGCCTCAGTTTCCCTCGTCGTAAAATGGAAATTGCAAAACTTACCTCATGAAGGAGCTGTGAGAATTAAATGAATTATTTGTAAGATACAGACAGTGTCTGGTAGAGGTAAGTGCTTCATCCATTTGGGCTGTTGGTGTCAACTCTGGGTTTCCCAAAAACTTGAAGACAGCAGGGCATTCCGTACATTCAGTTGTAGGGAAAATCTTGTACCTTCTTAATTTTTCTGGTGGTGGGGCAGGAGAAGAGGGGTGTGGTCATGACCTGAGCCCCTGGAATGCTTCTGCCCAGCATCACTGAGACGTGCCCACCCTGCTTTGGGGTCATTTTCCTCCTCTGGCTGCCACTGTCATTCCCTTCACCATCAACACCCCCTCCTTCTGCAGAGACGGTGAACATTCTGGCATTGTTCCTTCCAGCCAATGGCTTCTCTCTGGCCTGTGATTGGTACCCCCCAGATTCCAGCGCAATCCAGGCATCCCAGCTATGTCAGCGTGACTCACATTGTGTGTGCCTGACATCCACACGGCCCCGTAGAAGGCTGGCTCCAGCAAGAGGGTATGTGGAACGCTGCTGACTGTTTGATGGCTGTGAAGTTATCTTTTTTGGGGTCAGGCCATTAAAGTTGCATCTGATGTTTTATGGAACAAACCCAAGAGAAACCGCATGTTGAAATCCATGAGACACGAAGAAGGTTTTTACAGATGAAGACACGTCGGCAGCTAACGTTAGGTGGGTTTTTTTTCCCTCAAAACTTTGTAGTTTTTCTTCCATGTGGCTATTTCAAAGCAGAAGCAATCCCCAGCAGTGAAGCATAGAGGCTGCCATCGTAACAGGTTCGGTGAGATCTGGAGCTGCCGGGGCACCTGGAAAGAACATGGATCTGTCTCTCCGCTCTCATCAGCCCAACCAGAGTCGTCTGCTCCATTCCTACATTCTCTACCCAACTCACCTCACAAACCCTGAAGAAACATCCTTTTCTGTGCAAACCTAAATTCGTCCTGGGTGCTTTTTAATGCATGCTCCCAGCCCTCTCCCTTCTCATGCTACTTGCAAGTGACCAAGGAGCCGGTCACTCCACCCAATTCCTGGCCCTCTGGGCACACTGTGCACCTTCCAACTTTTGTTCCCGGGCGTTGTCACCTTTGTCCAGAGCACCCTTCCTTTCCACTTCTGCCCACTGTTCATCCAAGCAAATGGTCCAAGAGGAGTCCACTCAAATAACAGGCATACTGCCAGGCAACGATACGATAAGAAAGATTAGCAGACCAAGCATCAGAGCCTTTTGACCCTTGAACCCAGGACTCAAGCACACCTCCTCCAGGCAGCCTTCTCAGCCATCCCCTCGACTGAACCCCTCAGTCTGCCTCCTCCTGCACTCCCTTAACTTTTAGTTGACCCTCGTCTCCCTAAGTGAAAGCTATGTGTGTGTCTGCTCCCCTCCACACTGTAAGGCTGTTGAAGAGGGAGACCTCAAGATGCTCATTCTCATTCTTGGACCACTTAATTGATAGAA